CGGCCGGCTCTGCATAGCCAGTTTGTGATTATGACGGCCACTATATATCATGCAATTTTTTTTTTTTTTTTTGTGGATGATGGATCGATGGGATATATTGCTTAATTCAATTATTGGGACTCACGGTACTTCGGCTTTACAAGCAAGTCTTGGATTTAATTTCTCATCTCGTCAAAGGTCAATAACTAAAATACAAACACGACAATACGAAAAAAACAGCCACCAAGAATGTTATTAATTTGCTGAAGTTCCAGGAAGATGGGTTTATATATAAAAAGTTTGATTTTCTTTCGATATCCTGGACCCCAAAGAGCTTTAATTCTTAGTATAATATATGTTAATTAATAATAAATAAAATATTATTATGATGGGACCGTGGCATATGCATATATCCAGCTGATCGTTCTTCATAAATATCGTAAAAATCATAATAAAGCAGTCGATTTGTGGTTAAACTTATAAATTAAACAACTACTAACGAGAATGAGAGAATCCCATCGATTTAAAGACGTATATGCATGCCAAGTTGTCAACCCTCGTACATTTCTTACCCCTCAAGGCAGGCGTCTTGGTGATTTCAAATTCTTAGTTCATATAGCATCGTACGTTTGAGATGATCAAACATTTCTTGGTCTCTTTTTTTTTTCCATTATAAATAAAAAAAATATCTTGGCTTGGTCTTTTGACGGCACATGAGGCGAATGATATTACTTGAGTTGAATTCATGATTTGGAAAAAAACTAGACACGTACTAGCTAGTTTGAATGTATCAAGATTATCCAATATGAATTCCACCAATCAATGTCTCTCATCGAGTTGAATTCATACGACGGAAAAGAAACTTTGTGCAGTTTAGTATCGGTTTTTTTTTTTGTTTCAGGGGTTTACACACGTTAATTAATTAGTTGCTTGTGCATATTATTGTGTGTACCACCCCATATCGAGCAGGATTGTCCCTGGTTTTTCATGTGATGTCCGTGAACACAGAGACTTCGAAAGCGAGTCTTGATTAACTCGACCTAACTGACAATATGACACTAAATATATGTCTTTAACAAATCATATATATATATATAACAAAACAAATTAAATCGATTATATTGATGTGGCGACACGATCCTAAACAACAAATTTTAGTTGTATTCATGAATAAGTGATTCAGGTCATAATAACCTAACCAAAAAGTCAAAACACACATACTCCAAATATATATAAATAATATGCATAGAATAGTTGCATACACAACACATGTCTAGCTAGCGGCGCACAATATACGCGTATTTTGTACGTATTATGGCATGGAGTTCCCGAAAGTAGACGACCACCGTGGCCCACCGTACGCCGCAGAACACAAATGAGGAAACTATAGTTGGCCGGTAACGGTAATGGACGGTCGGCGCTTAATTAGTGTAGTAATCGGATCTGTAATTACTAATTGAAATGGGAAGTCTTTTGGGTGGGGTTCTTTCTTTTCTTGTCAAATTATGGATACTGTGCCCTTTCTTTAATATATATATTGGATCGGGTTTCGGTTCTACTGCAAATTTTTTTAAATTAAAAGTTGTTTCGGGCTTTGACCCCAGTGCTCATTAAACTAATTATATGAAAGTTATTTCCTTAGTTCAGTATATTTACATAACTAAAAGTAATTTGTGTCACCTAGTGGGAAACGGGAAGAGTCGAGTTCGAGGTAGGCATCTCTTATTTTCATTACTGATAATGTCATTTTCATATTAATTAGTAACGAATAAGATTGTATTGCGGTTGGTTAAGAGAACTGGGTTACAGAAGGGTCTATCTATTCGAATGTACATCTCTCAAAATACAAAACATGAAACACGTTAATTTATTAACCTTCGAAGAATCAAGAATCAATTTTTTTCCCACGTTGAAATGGAGAGGATAGCGTTAGTAATGGATTGTACGACTTAATAGTAGCCATCATAATTAGTGTTGTATCATCGTGTGACAGAAGTTAGAACAAGAACAATAGTTGTAGATATTAGATAGAACTTATATGAAAACGGGTTGAGAATGATACGAAACAAAGAAGAGTTAGGTAGAAGGAGGACTGATCATATCATATCCCTCCTTATTGATCAAAAGATAGATAACTCATATCTGAGAAATAAATAAAATTTAACGAGTCATATCAAAACGGTTATCGTTAATTAATATTAGGTTAAAGTGAAACTATGTGAACTACCAAGTTTGCTTTCATATTATCTTTTGGGTTTCAGCTTCCAAGTTCGCAACAAACATGTTCCGACGTAGATACACTATGCCCAGGTCACATATATTCGCGAGTCAAATGATGACGAAAATTGAAAAGTCTCCGAATTTTGTTAAGAGAAATTCTTTCATCGACCAACAAAAGGGCTCTCCTGTAACGCAAATGGTGAAAAAGTGATGTGTATATAATATATATTATATTCCAACTCTTTTAATATGGCTATCTCAATTCTTAACCCTTTAAACCACTTTGAATTCATTTCACGTGTGAATTCAATCAAGAAGTACTAGCTACAAGTTAAAATTATGTTCTCTTCAAAACTCTACGACAACATTTAAAAGTACACACATTTTATAGCTTTTTTTTGCCATAAATCTTTATTAGAATTCTAATATAATTTTAAGGCATGATCCTTCTGAATTTTGATAATGCGGAAATCATAAATCATTAATCACACTCTAGATTTGAATTTTATGATCAACGACCATTTTCACGAAAAAAGAATATTATGGAGATGTCATATGTGTATGTTTTATAACTTAATAAATTTATTCAAATCAACTCGAATACAAAACTTCTTTATAAAATAGACTTATAAACTTTTATATGTCAAACTAGAGGCGATTGTATAGAAATTTTTTTAAATAATTAAGTATAATTACATCAGTCACAGCCAATTGAAATTATATAAACCTCATCATTAAACCTTTTAACTCTCTACGTTCGGGTTAATTGCATGGGTTGGTCACTGAGATTACAAAAAATGTTCAAGTTCGGTCACTCGAAATATTTAAATCCATTTGTGGTACTTCAGTTTACTGAAACCGTTCACGTTTGGTCACTCTCCGTCCAACTCCGTTAACTTTTGCTGATGTGGCAGTCAAACTCTTAAAGTTGACAATTAACTTAGTGACGTGGCAACTAAAAAATTATTAAAAATAAATAAATAACCGACGATTCTGATTGGCAGAACTTCACTCCTGCCCAGTGAGCCCGGGGAAACCCTCCCGCGGGGGCTCCGATGCTTCCTCCGCCTCCCCTCACGCGAATCAGTGCCTTCTTCGACAAACCCTCTTGTAATACGCGCGGGAATCAATGCCTTCTTCCATACCATCAATTTCTCGAATTCACTTTTGATCTTCGCCGCTACCTCTTTCATTTCTTCGGTAACGGGGGATACGAACAGTATGCAGAGATCTATGTCGTCTTTCGGGTTTCAGTTCACTCATCCCTCTCACGGGAAGCCTCCTTTGTCTTCTTCCTCCCTGAAGAGAAAGTGCAGCTCCATGGACGACTTCGCCGACCTTAAAAGCGGATCCTCCTCCGACCGCTGCCATTGCTCCAAGAAAAGGTTCGCCCTTTTTCCAGTTCCAATAAATCTTAAACATTAATTGTCGAGTTAATTTCGTGGGTTTGTTGAATCTGATTCGAAATATTGTTTGCAGGAAATCAAGAATGAAAAGAGTGGTGAGAGTTCCGGTAAACAGCAGCAAGATGGCTGACATCCCGCCGGACGAGTACTCGTGGAGGAAATACGGGTAAAGGCCAATCAAAGGCTCGCCACACCCAAGGTAATGAATTGAACTGAATCGCTGTATTTTCTCTTTCTGTTGTCTCTTGTTTGGAGTCACGTCAATAATCCTTTGGGGAAGCATTCAATGGACAAAAACTCTATCCCTAATTCAACTCTGTTTCTTTCTCCAAAACATGGGATATTACAAATGTAGCAGCGTGAGGGACGACGACCTCGAACCTCTTGTCCCCGGCCACAAGCCTCTCGAACATCTACAAGGTTTTCGGGTTCTCCGGGCGGAGGAGGAGGTGGAAGGAGGAGAAGAAGAGGATTTGTAGATGATGAGCCCTGGGCCAGTGACTCGGCAGTTTTTCCTGATGGAGGGTACGGAAATGGTGGCCCATCATCTAGCTTGGTGGGCGAAGGAGGCGGAGGAAGCATCAGAGCCGCCGCTGGAGGGTTTCCCCGAGCTCACTGAGCAGGAGTGAAGGTTCTGCCAATAGGAATCATTGGCTTTTTATTTTTTTTATTTTTTAATGAATGTAATAATGAGGTGGAAAATATAGAAGATTATTTTTTATTTTTAAATTTTTTTTAGTTGCCACGTCACTAAGTTAACGGTAAACTTTGAGAGTTTGACTGCCACATCAGCAAAAGTTAACGGAGTTGGACGGAGAGTGACCAAACGTGAACAGTTTCAGTAAACTGAAGTATCACCAATGAATTTAAATATTTAGAGTGACTAAACTTAAACATTTTTTGTAATATCAGTGAGCAACCATGCAATTAACCCCTCTACGTTCTTTGAATTAAATTGGCGGATAGTGTCACTAAAAAGGGAACTTGGTGGGTAGGGCCTCTGATTGCACCAAGCGAAAAAAGAAAAAGTAACAGCGTTGCGTTGCCCGCGTTCCCCTTTTCCCGCCTACACTTGTCCTTCCCTCTGCACCTCGCAGACTTTTATTGAAATAAAGAAACTCCATTTTTTTTTCCTTAAAAAAAACAATTATTATATACTTAATTCAACGAGAGAGAAAAAAAAATTAGCATCATTTTCCGTTTCAATTTTTCACTTTTCCCGTTTGTTAACGATGCTGACGTAACCACAACGAGTTGACTTCCGGACACGCCTCACACGGCTCCGCCCACACAGTAAAAAACCATTCACCCTCCCAAAGTCCCACCAACCAATTTTACCCAGCAGTAAATTCCGGAACTATATAAACCTCCATCCCCTTCCATTTCCTACTCACTTCGCTTAGCTCTCTCATTTTTTTGACAACAAGCTTTCTCCCAAAGCTTTTAACAAAACTTAATTAACTCGACTCTTTCCTTTCTTCTCCGGGAAAAAAAATTCCTGACCAGAAGATGCAGATCGGAATCGCAAACACTCTCCCGGCGCACCAGGTCCACCTTTTTCAGGCGAGGCGCGCCGGCAGCTTCAAGTACAACCAATCCCCCCTCAATCCTTCAACTGTAATTTCTTCTTCCGCCTCTTCTCCGGCGACAATCTCCGCCCCCGATTGCACCAAGAGGCATCTCGCCAACCTCGACAAGCTTCTCCAGAAGGAAGCGCCGAATTCCAGATCCAACCGCCTCGATTCGATTCCCAAAGTTCCGAGACCGGATAATGGAGCGGCGGCGTCGGGTTTGGCGAGTCGGGGGAGGAATTTTCTAGAGGGGCTGAATCTGGCACGGATCTGGCCGGAGATGAAGGCGGCGGCGGAGGAGATGTCGCCGAGGCACCTGAACAGGCTGCACCGCCTCCTCTCGATGACGGCGGAGTACTCCCCCCGCAACAGCCTGGCCTGCCGCTGGAGGGATTACCACGGCGGCAACGACTGGAAGGGGATGCTCGACCCTCTCGACGAGAATCTCCGGCGGGAGGTGGTCCGGTACGGCGAGTTCGTCCAGGCGGCGTACCACGCCTTCAACTCAGATCCCGCGACGGAGGCCGACGAGGCCCCGCTCCCCGTCCGCGTGGCGCTCCCCGATAGGTCGTACAAGGTGACCAAGTCGCTCTACGCCACGTCATCGGTCGGGCTGCCGAAGTGGGTCGATGAGGTGGCCCCGGATCTCGGGTGGATGACCCAGCGAACCAGCTGGGTCGGGTACGTCGCGGTTTGCGATGACCGTAGGGAGATCCAGCGCATGGGCCGCAGGGACATCGTGATCGCCTTACGTGGCACTTCGACCTGCTTAGAATGGGCCGAAAACATGCGGGCCGGATTGGTCCCAATGGAAGATGAAGAATCACCATCTCCCCAAACCCAAACCCAGCCTAAAGTCGAGTGCGGGTTCCAAAGCCTGTACAAAACCGAAGGAGCCCATGTCGCCAGCCTGGCCCAATCCGTGGTCCAGGAGATCAAACGCTTAATGGAGCAGTACAAAGGCGAGACGCTAAGCATCACGGTGACCGGCCACAGCCTCGGCGCCGCTCTGTCCCTCCTCGTCGCCGACGAGCTGAGCAGCTGCTCCCCCGAAGTGCCGCCGGTGGCGGTTTTCTCTTTCGGGAGCCCCCGCGTCGGGAATCGGGCCTTCGGCAAGCGGCTGACGGGGAAGAACGTGAAGGTGCTAAGGATCGTGAACAACCAGGACGTAATTACCAAAGTGCCCGGGCTGCCGATGGTGGATGAGTTGGACGATGACAACCACCCATTGGCGTACAGCCACGTGGGCACGGAGCTACGTGTCGACACGCGGATGTCCCCGTACCTGAAGCCGAACGCTGACGTGGCGTGCTGCCACGACCTGGAGGCGTACTTGCACTTGGTGGATGGGTTTTTGGCGTCCAACTGTCCGTTTAGGGCGAATGCGAAGAGGAGTTTGGTGAAGTTGTTGAATGAGCAGAGAGGGAATGTGAAGCAGTTGTATACTAGCAAGGCGCAAGCCTTGAGCTTGAAGTTTGAGAGGCAAGGGCTCGCGGCCACCGGCTGCTTGCCTAGCCCTTCTTCTTCTTGACTATTAATGAAATTAGACCATTTTGGTTCAAGAAAATTTGTTGCCTATTTTAGTGTCCATGATGGTATCGCATTTACATCCAACTTCAAACTATGAGAACATTGTGGGGGTTAGGTGATATCGGATTTGTTATTGACGACTCAAAGCCTCCTAACATAATACTGTTGATCGGTTCGAATCTTTTAAATAGTAACTAATTATAAAACTAATTTGTATCACCCTTTAAAAAAAACAATACAATCTAAGGTATTTGAGTTGCGAGAACATACAATGTACTCCATACTCCATCTTATTACATATAATTTTATATTAGTTCGAAAAAGCATTTACGTTTAAATCATAGTGTAAGAGCGTTTGTAATACTATACAATCAAAACCTCAACATACCATTTATATCCAACCTTTTTTTCCCAATTTCATAAAAGGATGAATAATCTGGTGTGATAAAAAAATTTCTCGCTTGTATTTCAGTATGTTTACTCATGAGTTAAGGGGACCAGTTTTGTGAGTTTGCTATTGAGGGTATAGTTCAAAAAGGATTTGGTGATGAGTGGGTGTTTGACATGGTCGTTTCGATGACATGGTGAAGTCATTTGTCAACGTGACTTAATCGAACTAACACTATATTAAACAGATAATAATCGTAGTGTGATATTTACCGTTTAGTGCAGACCATACATCGTATATAGGTAAACCTTTTTTTTTTTTTTTGTTAAATAGATTTGTTCATATTTGTGGGACACTTTCAGTGACTCAGAATTCAGGACCGGCACTAAATGGCAACTTTGTTACTTAGTGATGGAATGTGAATTCGAGTGTCCACACACTTGTTTGGTCTTCCATCAACCGGACAATCAAATCTGGAATTCAATGCCATGTTTCTCGGCGCTGGCCATTTTGTTAAATACTATCCGGTGTGCAAATTGAGGAATCGGCTACAAACTTTAGACTAGCATTTTTTTTTTTTTGGAAGTGTACTTTAGACTTTGTACAGTTGCTACTGGGTTTACAAGGAAACGTTAATTAAAATTTGATCATGTGTTACACATAGGAAGTTAACTTTCTCTTTATGACTCTCATGTCTTGAAGTAGTAAGATCGAGATAAGTATGTTGTGAGCTAGAGAGACAAACCAATCGTCTTAAATGAAGTAATCTTCTTTCTATTGTCTCCAACGCTGTCCCTGATAGATTCGTCGATCGCCTTCACCGCATTTAATGCTTCGTACTTCCCTATTTGGTGTCACGACTTACGACAACGTTGTATTGCTGCAGACCCTGAGTGGCACACGATGTCATTTGCTATTCTCGACGCCTATTTTTATATCTCTTCACTCATCTGAAGTTGACAAGCTCGGAGGCGCCGTATATATGTGTAGTCTTTTCGTTTCTAAATCGAATGGCGTGGATAGCTCCATGTTGGGCCTACAGGCCCAGTTTATGGGTTGCATGAGGGTGGGCTCGAGCCCAACAATTGTCCACCAAGGCTAGCACCCAACCTCCCTCTTTGTTTAGAACTTTTACCTCTCGTCTCTCTCAACTGCCAGACCAGGAGCTTTTGATGTACCATAAATTTATATTTATTGCATAAACTAATCCAATTAAATGTCACAGTCGACTGTTAGCATAAACAACAAGAATCCAACCATTATTAGTAGGCTTAATTATACTAACTGTTGAGAACATAATCATGTACCAAAACGTTAAAGAATGCGACCATATTAAACGTGGAGCATTTTTAATACGGGGAATGATAAAAATTATCGACTAAATATTAGGTGTTTAGACCACAAAAGATTACACAAAGAGACCTTAACTATTCTATGAAAAATACTTTTAGCAATTAGCTAGAGGAAGAGGAAAACATAATAGTAAAACACCAACAAATAACAAAGCTTTGAACAAGAAAAGTGGAGGGTCATCCGCAGCAGAAATCTACCATCTCGTCGCGTCCAAACACGAGGCAGTCTCTGAAACATTTTTTTCTTTTTCGCCCATTTTATCAAAACACATTCCAGCCTCTTTCCTTCAAATATATATACGCCACGGTTGAGGGTACGGAAACATATCACTCAAACCAATCACGAAAACTGGTGCAAAAATAAGGTTTGAAAACAAAAAGAAGAGCAAAAGAAGGTTACCATCCATTCCCTCTCTAAGTCCAGTTTTCTTTTCGTGGGCCGCATGGTCTATGTGTAAAAAAAACATCTCTTTTCATTTTCATGTGAGGGAAAATTTCGAAATTTCACAATCTGGATAGTTTCATGTGTTGCTCGGAATATGATCTTCGGCTTTCATAGGGATGTGAGATTTCAAATGTTTATGTTTCTGCATGATTCGTTTTTGATGCAGATGAGTACCAACGATAACAATGGAAACGATGGCGAAAAGCGTACCCCAAAATTGAACGAGAGGATCCTTTCATCGCTGTCCAAGAGAACCGTTGCGGCTCACCCGTGGCATGATCTAGAGATCGGTAACGCTACTCGCATTGTTTATAAATAAAGCACGAATAGTGTTATCTGGAATTTGTTCATTCATCATAGAAAGGGTTATTTTGTAAAAAATTTTAGTTTTTTTTTTTCTTGTCGAGTTGTTATCAATGAAATTATAAATGGTGGTGTTGGCATCTGCAGGCCCTGAAGCGCCCAAGGTTTTCAACGTGGTATGTTTTCTTTTCGGATTTAGTGGTTCGCGGGATAAATCGCGTTACTCGTCCTCAATCATGATTATGGATTCATGCAGGTTGTTGAGATCACTAAGGGAAGCAAGGTCAAATACGAATTGGACAAAAAGACGGGAATGATTAAGGTAATAAATACCCTAGTTTGAGTCACATAATATTCCCTAAAATATTCCTCCACATTGTTTGAGATTTCCTCCTAATCTACAACCATTGAACCGATTCAGGTTGATCGTATTTTGTACTCGTCCGTGGTTTATCCTCACAACTATGGATTCATTCCTCGAACATTATGCGAAGACAATGATCCTTTGGATGTTTTGGTTCTCATGCAGGTATAGGTTTATTTTCTTCTTTTTGTCTATTTGATATTCATCTCCAACTCAAATCTTTCTAATTTTCTTTTCCATTTGACAGGAGCCTGTTCTCCCAGGCTGCTTTTTAAGAGCCAGGGCCATTGGACTTATGCCCATGATTGACCAGGTAATGTATATGCTTCATCTCTAATATTAGAAGCCATGTGATTTCCTTAGCATTTGTGACCCAAGAGTTTACAATTAGTGTTCATTCATTTTCTTTTTTTGTGAGTCAGGGTGAGAAAGATGACAAGATCATTGCAGTTTGTGTTGACGATCCTGAATATAAGTATTACAATGACATTAAACAGTTGCCTCCTCACCGTCTTATGGAGATCCGTCGTTTCTTTGAAGATTGTATGTCCTCTCTCTAATAGTAACCATTTAATGACGGAACAGAATAGGGTGACTAATAATATTGGTCTCTTTCTTAAAAATGTCTTTGCAGATAAGAAGAATGAGAACAAGGAAGTTGCAGTAAATGAGTTCTTGCCTTCGGACTCTGCTACTGAAGCCATCCAGTACTCGATGTAAAGTTCTTGATTATCTTAAATTATAAAGCTAATTTTCCTCTTCTATACAACCTTAATTCCTTTGCAAAAAGGGTTTTGACTTTTGATTTTTTTTTTCATTTTACAATCTTTTAATGCAGGGATCTTTATGCTGAGTACATTATGCAAACACTTGGACGATGAGGAAGAAGAGGCAAAGGAGGACATGTTCCTTAAGTTGGTCCCTTGTTTGGCCATCTCTCAAGATATACTATACAATAAGCCGTTTATAGGTTGCTTTTTGAGTTACGTTTTATCACTACGTATTGAAGATTTGATTCTGCATTTCAAGAGTTAAGCAGCGTTGCGAAGTGCAACTTTTTATTTATTTATTTTTCTTTTGGATCATTTCGCCCACTCTATATATAGAGGGTATACATATATGTATAATATAAATGGATCGATGATTTGAGTTTTTATTTTTATTCTTCAATGGAAGTTTGTCTTAATTTCTAGTTATTTGATGTTTAAACGGAGGTAGAGTGAGAGCGAGAGCGAAAATGTCAGAATGTTTAATTTCTAGTTATTTAATTTTCAAAACGTAAGTAGACATCCTAATTTTACTATTATCATTCTAAATAAAAACATAATATTATTAAATTGTCCTTCATTGATCAATCCAATTCGAGTGTAGATCGTGTCTTGAATTTTTTTTCCTGAACAGATTGTATCTTCAAATCGGCCTACTATGGTTACAAAATGTCGAGCCCAATATTTAAGGACACTTCTCAGTTAGATATCTAGGCCTTCCTTTAGTAGTTGGACGACTATCATCAGCAGACTGTGCAGTCCTTATTGACAGGATTACCAGAAGAATTAAGGTTTTGGAGTTTATGCTAGACGGAAATGGACAACTTGAACACAGTGTTATAGGACTAGACCAGTCTGGTTTCAAAACTCTAATTAGTGTACAAGTGTATTAGCGTACGTAGCAGTTATAGTCAAGAGTGATAATTGATGAAGGTTGATCTTTAGTTTGTACCAAGTTGTATTGATGTATTGAGCTGTACTGATCGTATTTTGATGAAATGAAAACCACTTATTTTATTCATAAAATATATACATTTAAGGACACTCATTACCATTTCAAACATGACGCTATAACATAACAAGGGCAAAGGTGGTTGGCTCCGCCTATGATTAAGTTGTGGCTGAGGTGTTCAGTTATAAAAACGGCTGCAGTTTTAGGCCAAGAAGGCATGGAGGAAATTGACAAATTAACCCATTCGAAGTATGCGGAGTAAGCAGCACGGGCTGAGGTGGCAAAACGTTTTATTGGACTATATTGTATAGTTGGTGAACTTGGAGTATTGTTTGGTTATTTTCACCTTATACCTAGTTGTCTGTTGATGGTATAAGTAGTTAGACGTAAACCTTCTTGTTGTAACTCTCGGCTAAACCTCATATTAGCCGCACATAGTGAACCCTAATTTGAGAGCTTTGTCTCTCTGTGGACTAGTCCCGATCTTCGGGGAAACCACGTAAAATCTCCGTCTTCTCTACTTTCCACATATTTTACATGGTATCAGAGCCTAGAACCGAAAGGTCATGGTTTCGAATCCTCATAACGACCCCCATTTCATGCCAATTCGTTTAGCACAAGGAATGGTATGTCCAACCTGTGCAAACTAAAGCCTCGTGGTTTGGCAGCACAAAGGTTCAACCTGTGCAGCCCGTAAAAAATCCACAATTCGGCATCGGCTTTCGTTTGAGGGGGCGTATAAGAGGTTAAAAGGCTTAACTATCCCTTTCCCAACAACTCGAGTTATTGGGACCAAGTGGTTAGTTCGCTAACATGGTATCAGAGCGGGAGGTTCCTCGCTGCTCCCATTGCAATAGACGCGGCCACCTAAAAGAGTCCTGCTACAAGCTTATTGGGTTTCCTCCTGGACACCCCAAACACAAGCCAAGCGATGACCGCTCGGGTGCTGCTGGCCGCCAATCCAAGGCCGCCCACGTTGAGTCCGAAACTGTCCCTGTTCCAGGATTGACTAAGGCCTAGTTTGAACAACTCCAGCAGCTGCTTTCCGCGACATCCCAGTCACCGTCTGAGCCCACGGCACACATGGCGGGTAACTCTCTTCACCCTTGTGAATGGTTGGTTGATTCAGGGTGTAATGAGCATATAGTACGGGATGCTTCATGGTTAACGTCTATAGATCCGAAATTGCCTCATTCTCACGTACGTATCCCGAATGGTATGGGGATACCTGTTCAGGGCATGGGGTCGATCCGTTTGTCTGATTCTATTACACTACATCGGGTCTTGCTCGTTCCGGACTTCAAATGCAATCTCTTATCTGTTAATCGCCTGACTCAAGATCATAATGTGGAAGTGGTTTTCTTGCCTGATCTATGTGTGATCCAGGACTCACTTTCCAAGATGCCGATTGGCGTAGCTAGAATGCGTGATGGATTATATTACTTGCCACGCTTTGAAGGAAGGCAGGCTTCGGCTCAAGTTTTGTCTCCTCGGGCCTGCAAGGTGGATCGCGTAGCCGCATTACTGAATCTCTGGCATATTCGACTTGGTCATCCCTCTATGGACAAGCTTTATTTATTAAAGGATCTTATTGGTTGTAATCTGGATTCTCGGGGTTATTTTCATTGTGACCCTTGTTCACATGCTAAACCGACACGTACTTCATTTTCTTTGAGCTCAATCAAGACCAGTGGTTGCTTTGATCTTTTACATCTTGATATATGGGGCCCTTACCGCACTGCAGCTACTGATGGTTCGCATTATTTTTTGACCATTGTTGACGACTATAGTCGCGGTACATGGGTCTACTTAATGAAATTCAAGTATGATGTTGAGCGGTGTCTGCGCTCCTTCTTCGCCTTGGTCCGTACCCAGTATGATAAGCATGTCCGCTGTCTCCAGGCTGATAATGGTCCCGAGTTCCAAACCACTTCTCTTCGTCAATACTATGAGGAACATGGCATCATACTTCGGACGTCCTGTACTGACACCCCACAACAAAATGGGGTTGTGGAACGAAAACACCGGCATTTGCTTGATATTGCTCGGTCCCTTATGTTTCATGCAGGTTTACCGGTACGTTTCTGGGGTAAATGCGTTCTTACCGCTGCCTACCTTATTAACCGGATTCCGTTGGTACCTGTCTCCAACAAAACCTCGTTCGAGATCCTACTGGGACGAATTCCTGACTACACCTTGTTGCGCAGTTTTGGTTGCCTTGCCTATGCAAAGGACACTCATCACGGACTGGACAAGTTTGCCGAACGAGGCCGAGCAAGGGTCTTCATTGGTTATCCCGGGACTCAAAAAGGTTACCGCATCTTCGATTTACAATCCCGCAAAATATACACGTCCCGTGATGTGCACTTCGTGGAAAATACATTTCCTTTTCGTTCGGCCACTCCTTTTTCCTTGGAGAATCTGTCGATGCCCACTCCTTCCTTGCATGATGGTGCTGATCGTGTGCATGGCTCGTCTTCCATGCCATGCATGATCGACGTACCGCTGGTGCCTTCTCCTATGGATCATGCGCCAGCTCCCCAAGCTGATGATGAAGGGTTTGATATGTGGGATTCTGCCCGTGACCCTCCCCCTTCACCTGCATCTTCCTCGGCTTTGGACACCTCATCGGGAAAGGGGGAGCATTCCGATTTAGACCTTGAAGAGGGCTCTCCTATGGACAGCGACCTTGCTGTTGACCCTTCGACTGAAATTGTTGATGTTGCCGCACCGGACGTTGCTCCTTCTTCCGCTGTCGAGCATGCAGGGGATGCGCAGCCTATCCCTCGACGTGACCTTCGTAGTCAACATCCGCCTTCCAAACTTGATATATATGAGGTAACTTTTCCCGGCACTTCTCATCATGTTCAGTTCCCTTTGTCCCATCAGGTTACCTACCATCGCTTTTCTGCTAATCATTGCGCTTTTCTGGCCGCCATCACCAAACTCGACGAGCCTCGCCACTTCTCTGAGGCCGTTAAGTATGAGCATTGGCGGCTTGCAATGCAGAAGGAGATAGATGCCCTTGTTGGGAATGGAGCATGGACTCTTGAACCGTTGCCTCCCGGGAAACACCTCATTGACTCGAAGTGGGTTTACAAGATCAAGTATTTGCCGGATGGTTCTGTTGAGCTCTTCAAAGCGCGATTAGTGGCTAAAGGGTACACTCAGCTGGAAGGGGTTGATTTCCATGACACTTTTGCCCCGGTAGCTAAGCTTGTTACTGTTCGAGTGCTTCTTGCCGTGGCGGCACAGCGAAATTGGTCTCTTCACCAACTCGACGTCAACAATGCTTTTTTGCACGGTGACCTTGAAGAAGAGGTTTACATGCGGGTTCCTCAGGGTTTTGCCAAGGATGGTGATAATCGCGTCTGTCGTTTGAGGAAGTCGCTGTACGGACTCCGCCAGGCCTCTCGAAACTGGTACGTGAAGTTTGCAGCGGCACTAATAGAGTTTGGTTTTACTATGTCTCGTGCAGATAATTCTCTTTTCATTTATGACACCCCAAACGCTTATATTGCGGTGCTCATATATGTCGATGATGTGATTATCACTGGTGATGATCCCACGGTCATTCAGCGAGTCAAAAGCTTCCTTAACCAGCAGTTCAGTATCAAGGATTTGGGGGTACTTAAATACTTCCTGGGCATTGAGGTCGCGCGGTCTCCTAAAGGGATTGTTCTTAGCTAGTGAAAATACACCTTGGACATCTTGAAAGACTCTGGTTTGGGTGCCGCTCGCCCCAGTAGTTTTCCCATGGAACAGAATCACACGCTTACTCGCCCTACTGAGGATCGTGCTGTTGATGTTAGCTCGTATCGTCATCTTGTAGGGAGGCTGCTTTACCTCACCATCACACGTCCGGGCATTGCTTATTCAGTCAATGTGTTGAGCCAGTTTGTTCATGCGCCTAGCCCTGATCACGTAGTTGCTGCTCATCGTGTGCTTCGCTACCTCAAGACTGCTCCGAGACAAGGTTTGTTCTTGCCTTCTGCGGGATCCTCGGAACTCACAGCTTATAGTGATTCGGATTGGGCTGGTTGTCAGACGACTCGTCGGTCTACTACGGGATACTTCATTCAACTGGGTGGTGCACCAGTTTCTTGGCGAGCTAAGAAGCAGCGGGTGGTTTCACGTTCGTCTGCCAAAGCGGAGTACCGGGCCATGGCTAGTGCCACTAGTGAAGTCCTATGGCTTCGTTTCTTACTCCGTGAACTTCGTGTGCCACAGACCTCTGCTACTCCTCTTTATTGCGACAATCAAGCAGCACTCCACATTTCAGCTAATCCGGTCTTTCATGAGCGCACAAAACATGTCGAAATGGACTGTCACTTTGTTCGTGAACGCGTTGGGTCTGGTGACATTCTTCCTTAGAAGATAGCGTCGTCCCAACAGTTAGCAGACATGTTCACTAAGGCGCTCGGTGCCAAGCAGTTTCACCATCTCTTATCCAAGCTTGGCATTCGTGATCTTCATGCTTCAGCTTGAGGGGGAGTATTGGACTGTATTGTATAGTTGGTGAACTTGGAGTATTGTTTGGTTATTTTCACCTTATACCTAGTTGTCTGTTGATGGTATAAGTAGTTAGACGTAAACCTTCTTGTTGTAACTCTCGGCTAAAACTCATATTAGCCGCACATAGTGAACCCTAATTTGAGAGCTTTGTCTCTCCGTGGACTAGTCCCGATCTTCGTGGAAACCACGTAAAATCTCTGTCTTCTCTACTTTCCGCATATTTTACACGTTTATATTGACATTCGCTTATAGTAATTTGTAGATTGGATACGGAGGAATGAGTCTAAACAGTAAACGGGCCGGTAATTGATTTGTAACGATATTTTGGGGCAAGTTGACTTATTTAGGTAAGTGTCTAAAAGAAATTATAGAGAAAAATTATTAAACCGGATAAGTCAATCATAATTTTTAAGTCATAATTTTTTTCGTACATTCCATACCACTCGTAAGTGGAAAAATAAGCAATGAATATTTTCTATATGAAACACATATAATCTATGAATTCAAAGTCATACCGAACTGAAAATGAAGCATAACATGTTCGAAAGATGGTTGCACTAGAGTTCAAGTAGTATGAGTAATTTACTAATTTGTATAAATATCGCTCAAATAGTACAAGTAATTTCATTATAAAAAAAAGTGGCATGAGTAATTTGTGTAAATCCTCCATTAATATATAGTAGAGTTTTGTAAACTTTTCTCCATTTCAAATTTTCTTCAATGAGAGTGAAAGTAGGAAGGATATTTTTGTCTTTACAATTAATTATTTATTTCATAAAAAATATCAATATCAAGACTCGAACCTGGGTCTCTTCAAACAAAGATAGCAATCATAACCAATTATACTAAGTGTATTTGTTGTTCCTTTTTTAATACAAAACATACATGTATTGAAACTGTGAAAAGCAGAGAACTTTTTCATCATGATTAACAAGGGCACTAACTCTACCATATGTATTTTCATGGTGCTTAATACTTCAATTTTCATAGTAGAGTTTCATTTAATTTTATCAATTTTTAGAATTCATGCTCTCTCCTTAATGTTTCTCTAAAGGTATATTGGTAATTGGCTAACATGGAAGAAACTATTTCCTTTATTACGTGTTGTGTCCTTGCATTTTCAATATAAATTTAAATTTTGTGCCTTTTTATCTTTGTTCTTATCTCTTTCTAATTTTCTCCGAAATTCCCTCCATCGTGCAATAGTTTGCATGCTTTCACTTCCCAGTATAAGGAGCATTTGAAAATCAACATTCGGGTATCTCTTGGCACTGCAGTTTTATTCTTGGGAATTTAGGCTGGGCAAGTAGAAGATTTCAACTCTCATATCAATCCATGGCGAATAGAATGGAGTTCAATCAAGTAGTTATGGCCTGGCCTTGATTATCTCGCTCGATTCCTCTGCATTGGCATCACCCAATGGTTCTGTCTCTCCTCGATGTACTACCAGAAGAAATATTTTGTTGCTTCTATTGCTGAAGGCAATGTTTGATCAGCTGTACCTTTCGCCTTTACTCATCTTCCTATACCAGGCATTGACCTTTAATAGGTTTTCGGTTTCCGACCAAGGTTAATCGCTTTGCACATGTAAGTCATTCATTTCTTCTCTATGTCTCATGGTTTTATCTTTCTGATTAATAACAAAACGACTTTTATTTCACGTTGTCTCATGAGCACAACATGCATAATATCTATTTCTTTTGATCTTATTGCCTGATACGATGTTTAAAGCTCGGGGGATCTCCTGCGTCATTTCTCCTCTTTCTGTTATTAGGTTTCAACTTCAATGAGTTTCTATCTTCATATAAGGTTCATCGACTTGAACTGGTAGGCTATTATTTCCTTTCCGATTTATCTAAGTTGGTTGTTTATGGATGATTTTTATAAAATATAGAAAATGAATTTGAACGATGGTTTGGGTACTATATTTGTTTGTAAGCAAAAGAGATGTTTGTGTAGAACAGGGCAGTTGTACTTTCCTAGAGCCATGTCTACTTTTTTGTTGTTTGTTTCTGATACTTTATTTTTGTTCTTTGCTTAGCTATTGAAATAATAAAATAAGATCAAAATTAAGAAAAAAGGTTTCTTTTCAATTACAATATTTTCACTCATATTTGATTTTGTGATAACTAATGTTCTCCGCAACCATAATTTTCCTCATTAATTTTTATTCTTATGGTCCAACTCACTAATCAAATTTTGATATTGTTTTAGAATTAGTTAGAAATTGAGCTTTCATGCAACATTCTAGGAGTTTGGGGTGTTGAACTTGGACTAGAAGAGTTAGGATTGAGTTTGAGAATGAGAGTGGTGGGGGGAAGAAAAATTCAACTGTAGCAGGTTAAGGCAGAGAAGAGGGAGTTACTGAGGGTAGTGATCGAATTGAGGAGGGTGTTGAAAGGCGCGGAAGCAAAACTGGAGCAGTTGAAGAGAGAGAAATGAGAGATGATGAGGATATTAATGAAAATGGAGAGGATATTGAAGGACATGGAAGTGTGTTGAAGCAGGTGAAGGCATGCAAGGGGGAGATGAGCATATTTATGGAATTGGAGATGAGTTTTGGTTTTAGCGAACTTATTAGAACTTCCCCTGAGGAAGATGAGTTGGCAAAACACAGGAAGGGGATCGAGGAGTTGAAGAGCGAGTTGACAAGAACCCCAATTGGAAGAGAAATTGAGGGCCGCAGAGAGAAGGTCCATCAAAGTAGCAGAAATGGAGTTGCAGAAGGAGGATTAGAAAGTGAATGTTTGGTTGAAACATATGCTTCTTGAGATTGAAGATAGAGTAGATAAAAATTTGGTCTTTCAATGGAGAGTGGTGGCTATTGGATCATTAGGTTTATGGTTTTTGCAACTACCACAACCTATTTCTATCTTAAAACGAGTAATTATTGATTGATTTAATGAAGCAGGTCGATTCTTTATTCAGCCTGCTGGAACTGATAGATAATGACTATCTAATTTTGCGTCATATTACTTTGATCGAGTTTTGGAGGTAATCCAATTTTGTCGTTTGCTCTCAAGTTTTGATGATCCTCTCTTAGCTGAGTTGTTAATATATAGTTGACTTGAACCTACAACCCTCCATTTCTTTTTTATTAGTGGCATATTGCCCCCAAAATGAGAGCATTGAACCATTTACGTAGGATTGTGAGGTTTTAGATTCAGTTTCAAACTATCTATGGGTTGTGTGGGAATTCCAGTGAGCTTTTATACTCTATCTTTCTCAACAATCAACTAACTAATAACATATTAACTGGGCTTATTTATCATTATGAAAATGAGATGTTTTATACATTTTTATATTTTATTTTCTCAAATGATGATGATATTTCTCTGAATGTTCGACCTATATATTCTTTCTTTATGTTTCATCTCAATTGAAAGATTGTCAATAAAATTAAACGGGTTGATAGACTTTAACGTAACATAAAAAGTATAAAAAAATCAAATATAAACATTCCGGCCAACGAGCCGGGTTATAAGCTAGTAACTAAATATAGAGGAACTAGACAAGAGGATTCAATGAGCCTCGGAGCCAGAAGTAGCGGAGGCCCTGGCCATCGAGTTCGGCATTCATATGGCGGGAAACCTCCAAATCGAAACAGACTGTCTTTCAGTGGTTTAGAAACTTTGTGGTCAAGAAGTCATTATCACCGAGTTGGGTACAATATGTATGAGTATCAAGAGGGCCCTTGAGATGAGATTAGAAGAGGCGATCCGCTTTGTTGAAAGGACAGCAAATGAAGCGGCGCATCTAATGACCAAATGTAATACGAACTGGAACTCACCAGTAATATGGCTAGATAGGCCACCGATTATTGTGATTGATCAGTTACGACTGGACGATGTAACAACAGTTTCTGATTAATAAAACTCAATACAGGTTGACATGCAAAAAAAATACAAACCGAAAACAATTCATACCGATAAAAATAGAAGAAACGAATCTACATCGAAATTGTTACATCGAAATTGATATCTCTATCATCTACAGATTTACAACCGAATCGACAGCTGCCTCAAGTATTCTCAACTTCCACATCATCCCCAGCTGGTCCAACACCAAAACCACTCTCCTCGAGCCGGCCCCTTCCTCCAACGACGCCGGCGCAACCTCCAATTCCTCTGCGCCCGCAGCTGCCACTGTTGTTTCTCTCTCCACCGCGACCAACCAGAAGCTCTCGCTGAGTCCTCTCTGAACTCGCTCCCAACTCAGCACTTCAAATCCCCCCTCCCCCTCTCCTCCTCCATCCAATTTCACCGCCGTACACAGGTAATTGATCCCACGGAATCGCTCCGCCGTGAGTGGCCGCGCCGCTCCCATCATAATCACCGTCCTCCTCCACCACGCTCCGTCGTCGCGGCCGTCAATTTCGAAGATCAAAACTTCCCCTGTATCGAACAAGCACCAAAATTTCCCACCCCTACACCCAATCCCCGCGCAGATCCTCCCTTTCCCGAACCCGATCTCGTAATTCGTCCACCAACCCTCGCGGCGGAGGAACGTGCTGAAACTGGTGTGACAACCCCCGCCGCCGCCGTGGACCACCAGGACCATCGAATCGGGATCCGTCGGAGGGGCAGAGAACGCCGCTCTTGTCCTGGCTTTTGTCGGCCTCGGCCTCTTCTTCTTATTATTTCTGGGCAGCTCGATGACGTTGGGCGGCTCGAGCAGGGGATTGAAGCAGCAGAAGATCTCGCCGGCCGAATTGCTCATCAGCCACCAGCCGCCGATCTCGTCCCTGCCGACGACGGTTGCGCCGGCGAAATCGCCGCGGAGATGGGCCGGGATTTGCTGTGGGCATGACGTTATCATCGTCGTGCCGCCGCTGCGGAAGGTGCAGATGGTGAAGTCGGCGTTGTGGGACGACTGGGGCGGGGCATAATCGGCGGCGGAGGAGTAGGTCCGGCGCCAGTTCTTGCAGACGGAGCCGAACTCGGTGCGTTCGACATGGGAAGGGAGCTTAACGTAAATCAAATTCAGGAGCTCTGGACAGAGATCTTCCCATGGACGGCGCGTTTCCGTCACTCCTCCCGATCTCTCCTTCTCGCTCGCCATAATTGGAGAAATCTCAAATCGCAGACAACGACTTTACTGATACAGAATTCATATAAAGTCGTTGGCGTTTGGTGGGTCAATACAATCGAAAGTCAACTACGTATTGGGTAGCTCGCACATCCACTATGTGGTTTTGTATTTGTTTACTCATAACTAGTCACGGACCCGACCAGTTGGCCGGATGCCAATCACATAAATAATATTATCTAATTGTTTGTGAGATTCGTGGATTTTGATAGTATAAGCAAATCTAATTATTCAAATAGTTGAAACGTTTAAATTATTCGGTAGAATAAGAGAATCCAAATTATTAAAGCACTTCAACAATCCAAAAATTTTAAATAATGTTTTTCGACATTGTACGCAACTAACTTATCGAATAAAATCTTTTTACGAAAATGAATGACAAATCTAGACCGACTCCTAAAGACATTTTAAAATCACCCTTCTATTTACTCCTCATCAACGAAGATTACTGGACATTTTCATTTTAACTTGTTTGCACTTCCTCCGGCATGAGCAACATCATCATATTAATGTCTTCTTCTCCATTAGTTATACATTTATTTCTATTATGAATTTCCTCTTCTTTTTCTCTCTTGCATTTCAATGATCTCTTCCTTGTTTTCCTGTATTTTATTGAGCACAAATATTTGATGGTAAACTTTTTACAAATACCAATTATCTTTTTCGTTGGAGTAGTATTTTACATCATTCAAAAAAGAAAAAGAAATAGTATTTACCTCGTCCAAGTTATGAACAATATCAAAAGTTTGTTCTTTCTACTCATAATGGGTACTTGTATCTTTATCATAAACAATGTATTTCTTCTACTCAAAATAATCGTCATCTCTAGCACCAGATATAGTACACCCACCATTTTCTTTTTCCAAGGCAAGCCCAAAGGGCATGGGACAAAAACTCGACACAATTACAAGACTGACTCAAAATAAATACGTTAGTCCGTATGCAACCAGACTACGATGAAAGAGCCTGTTAAGCCACTACTTGGGTCGCTCTGAAGAAACTCCGAGGAACAAAGACACGACACTCAGGGGCGGAGCTAGGTGAGGGCTCCCCCCCCCCCCCCCCCCCCCCCCCCCCCCCCCCCCCCCCCCCCCCGAGAATTTTAGAACCTACGTACAATTTCCACGATATTTGAAAAGTTACGTATAAACATAACGGTACTGATAAATACTTGCACTTGCAAAACTCAAACAAATCTACACTGCTAGTCTAACGGTGAAGTTTTAAAGCTGCATCTCCATTGACTCGAGTTCAATCCTTGGAAGGTGCTGGTTTTTAATTTTTTTTAGTGTGTACTTTTTCTTTAAAAAAACTTCTCCTATTGGTCATCATTCACGTTTATTTTTGTGTTTTCATTTACCAAAGAAATAATTTTGTTTTTATATTCCCTTTAAATTCAGTCATTGATTTTAGATTATACCAAATTATTTATTCAACTTTTGAATTATTATTTATTGTGTTATTAATTGACTTCAAACATTAATATATACATATATTTATTTTCCAGTCATAAAGATATTGAAGGATGTGGTATACATTGGAATGTATAATTTATTTTTTGTTCATATAATTACCCTTGTTTGGAACATAATAACGTAGAAATTTATTTTTTGTCATATATTTAATTACGTGATCATATAATTCACATTTCACTACTAGTAAACGAAACAAATTTCGGACCCCCCGAACATCAAATCCTAGCTCCGCGCTGACGACACTGACGGGGAAATAAAACAAAAACAAAAACACAAACCCAACATCTCGACGATAGTCCCGCCAGCGAGTGTAATTTCCTTCAACGGAGTATGCCGGATGATCGGCATCGAGTTGCAACAAAAATCCACAACAAAGAAAATAAAGGGACATTAGCAATCTTCGACAGAGAAAGCTTAATTATTCTCATAAATTTGTACGAATAAGACTAAACTATCACCTGATAGATTGATGAAACTTCCTTCAATTACTTTCATACCATATGAGCACCTGAAAATGACCAACCAACAATGCACGACTATGGTGCTAGAAATCTCTATCTAAAGAGATAAAAGTCTACTGATGAGACATAATCGGGTTTACCGAATATACCACACCAATAATGTGATGTAGTCACCAATATGAACTAAAAGAGGGAAATTAAGAGCAAGGTAATTACACTGATGGTAGTATTAATTTGACAAGTAATTAAATCAAACAAAAATTATTCCAATAGCATAAATAACGAAAATGTGAAATTCAAACAGGGAATAAAAGGAAAAGAATAGCCATAGACACTACCGAGACAGTTAAGGCCATTTTAAATTATAGAAATTAGCAAGCTAATTAAATAAGAGACTTGATTGCAATTAAACTCCGCCAATAAGGACAACCGAAGCAACTGAGCATAACTTACTCTCATAAAGTTTTAAAATTAAAATGGATAATGATTCCAAAACGTAGGCGAGAATTAATACACATAGAATTTGAGGGGAGCATATCCGGTGAGTAACCCCATGCATAACCCAATAAGCATCTGCCACATTAGCGCCTCCTTCTCTCTCCTGGAAAAATCATTAATTTTATTTCCCTTAATCTTTAACGGACGATTTCTCAATCGTTTTAACTCGGAATTTAGTTTTTTTTTTTTTTTGCATAGTTAGATCAGATTAATTGTGCTCTTCAAAATGATATCCACTTTGATATTTTTTGGAACAAAAAAAAATTTGCCAGTTATTGACTGGTATGAAATAACAGCATACCATATGGTATGAAAAATACCAGTCAATACCATATGTTGTTATTTAATACCAGTCAATACCATATGCTATTATTTAATAACAGCATACCATATGGTATGAAAAATACCACCTCATACCAGGGTGGTATAGTATGGTATGGAGTTGGTAACGAGAGGTTTGAAAAATTTTCCCCCATAAAATTTTGAAATCCAATAGATCATGATTAAATCGTTCCTTTTGTGCAAAAAATTTCGAAAATGACTAAACAACGAAGGAGATACCATATGGTATGGAGTTGGTAACGAGAGGGATGAAAAAAAATTTCTCACAAAATATTGAAAATGGATATCATTTTGTAGAGCACAACGAACTCGTTCCATCTGTGCAAAAAAAAAAAAAATGAAATCCGAGTTTAGAATGAAGAAGATATGATCCAATTAAGAAAACTAGGGAAAATAAATTCCTTTCATTCTCCACCCTTAGATCTGCAGCCACTTAAAAGAAGGATCCAGATTTGGTTACTCATTGTTACTCGCCCTAAGGTTACTCACTCTATCTTGAGCCGAATTTGAGCCAAAATGGGTAAATGCATAAATCACTTTTGAGAAATTTTTAAAATTAAACGAGAGATAATGACCCCAATAAATTTGGCGAGAATTGATACTCAAAGAATTTGAACCAAAAAGGGTAATTGCAGAAATCACTCGAAGCGCAAAAACAACGAAAATTCATAACTACAATTAATTACGAGCTCATCATCATTGCCGAAAACGAACCGTAAAACAATGTACAATCCTAGCACGGCGGGGCAATGAAGGAGTGGTTGGCGAGAAAGACAAGATGAAACTGAAATTGAGGATTCTGTCAAAGATAAACAAAGGAGAAAGATTGCCTAATAGGACCGTTGTTGGTCGATAACACATGGAATAGAAAATTATAGACTACTAGTCAACTTGAATTACAGGAAGGAGGGCAACCAAAACCTATGAAAAGAAAAATGCAGGAGAATCGTGTGATTTACCTGATGAAAGTGGTGGTACTTGTTCCGGTGAGGCAGCAAAACAGAACCTTCGAGGGAGGATTAGGGTAATAGTACACCCACCATTAACAGTCTCATTCTTGTTCTCTTACATTAACATTTTGAAATAAGATCATTGTCATTCAAAAGTGCAATATATGGTGTGATTTTCTAGAATAAAATGTGTTTAAAATATATGGGAATTAAAATTGTAGCTCGATAGAATTGCTTGCATGCTAGTGTGTAAGGAAGCAAAGTTCTGTCGGGGGTTTATGTTATAAACGACATGCATTTGCCTATAGAATATAGATTAAAGAATACAAGTAAGTGCCATTTATGCATGATTTAAAAACTGAAAGCATATATTTGTGCATGGTATACAAATTTAAGACGTATACACTTGATAATACAATCAAGTATACAATTGTATGCATGCTAGTGAGTAATAATGGAAAGTTCCTCTAAAGTTTTAAGTTATACAATTAAATACATTTGTCAAATTTAAAGAATACAACTGAGTATTATCTTTGCATGATATACAAATTGAAGAACAACATACTTGATTTCATAACTAAGTATAATTTGCAGCTGGTATACCGTAGACAGCAATTTATTTACTGGATAATAGACGCAATTAATTGCCTTGTAAAATCAACATGTGAGAAGTAGACATGGTAGGCAAATAATCAGAGGGTGCATGTTCCAAATGTACTCCAAATTCAATAGAGAACACATTTGTAATTAATATTGACTATTATTTATAATTTACCTTGATCAAGTCAGGAAGATGTTATGAGTTCTGCTCTTCTCATCCTTCCCAATCATGGAAATCTTGTACTCACTTATTGATTAGCAATGACATATATGAGCAGAGCACTTCTACTATGCTATATAGTATTGGTGCTTTAATGTACAACTTAAAGTTGTACCATAACATTAAATGTATAAGTTTAGGTTGTACCATAAAACAATTTGTACCATTATGTTATGGTACAACTTTACAACTTGAAGTTGTACCATCACATAAAAGTACAAGTTCAAGTTGTACCATAAAAGAATTTGTACAAAAAGTATATGTACAATCTGAAGTTGTACCATAACGTAAATGTACAATTTTAAGTTGTACCATAAAGGCAAAATCCTATAGCACCAATACTATATAGCATTGTAAAATTTCTCATATGAGCATGATATTGAACTTCATATCATTCCCTCAGTTTGTAAGAGAAGAGAAACTGATAATCCTCTCATTCTATCATTGTATTGGAATAGCATTTTAGTTGGTCAGGATTTTGTAGAGGGTGGGCACATTTAGAAAAAAATTCATAGGATAAAATAGTTTTTGTTAGCTTTTTAAATCATTCATTATATAATTTTGTATTTACAAAAACTTGATAAACTAAATATATGTCGAAATTATAAAAAATATCACTCTATATGTATAAAAAAAAATCATTCGCGACTTAGTCAAGATCGTTTATTATCCTAAATCGAGTTGTTGGCAAAGATTTAATAATAGATTTTATAGTATTTAGTATTTACTAACACCTACCTTCTAACCAAAACCAACTTATACATGCTTAAAGTATTCGCATATTCGAATGTCATGTGCTTAACAATCTGGAACACCAAAATTCGAACACATGATCTCTCGGTCACAGTTCTCAATTAGAAGTGCCCTAAATTTCATTCTCAATTAACTATCATACTAGTTTACTCATTTTCGTCCTATGGACCCACCCATTACACTCTCTATATCCCTTATTGAAATAAATATTTTTACAAATTAGCTATGATTTGGTGAAAATTTGTGGTATATATTGAATATGTACATCTATAATTTTGAGCGAATCATATGCACAATTTTCATTTGTACATAGCTCGTTATAAAAACATTGAATATGTCAATACACAAACTATAAATCATATATCAAATATTTGCAAAGGTCAACCATTCTTATTTAAATACATGTTATTTTTCATATCCGATTAACTCTTATACATAATTTACCATATTATCTCCCAAGCCCGACCCGGACCCACCCTCTAACTCTCTCCCTCCGCCCCTGTTAGTACGAAGGCAATTGCAACTAGATAGCGAGTAGGAAAAAGAAACTAAATTTAGTAAGACATCAACAACATTTGAATAAGGACTTGCCGGTGAATGTAACAGAAGAACGACAATGGCAATCGTCATAGAATACATGCAATAATTCATGAGCCAACAGATAATCAATCGGGAAAGGATGGAAGTGTTGGGTGGGAGTAGCAGGATGTCTCTAATCCATGGATTATATAGTAATCGGGTGAGAGTTAGTTGTTGTGTATGATTATGTATCCCGCCTTCTCAACACTATTGTGAGTAGCAATTGTTGCTACTTAATTGCAAAGTTACGATAGGTGTAATATGAATACAATTGCAAGGTAATCCATTTTTTGGTATTCGTATTCAATTTATTCATTATTTGTGTGCCGTATATATATATTGGAATGAAATGATGAGTTAAACTTTGGATTTGTATTTTTTATGGGTAGTGATAAATCCACATATGAATTAGTGTATTATATATGTCTTGTATATTGTAGCGCATGAACGATTCTATCAACAGTTAACCAAC